AAAACTCCAATACACGGTGTATCTTTGACACGCGAAGCCCATGACGCGTGCACTGTTGCAGGTTGCGATAGTGTATGACATAACGCTTTTTATCATACACTATCGCGAGAAGTTTATCCTGCCGCTTGCCGGGTGGTTTATCGCGCGTTGGACAGAACGGTAGGTCAATGTGCGCGTCGTGAAGATGCTGCGGATACTCGAGATCGACCTCGAGAATGTAACCTGTCGATGAGTCCGCAGCGATTGCGCTCGCGTCGAAATTCGTAATATCTTCGATCCATCGAAAATTTGCGTATGGTAGTGGTTGACACATCGCCCAACCCATGGACGTAAAAAATATCTGGACAGAGCGCAATACTGCGGGGTTGAAGTACAAAGGGTGAGAGGAATGAAATGTCTATTGACACGGATGAGGCATGTAAGATGGCGGCGACGGATAATTTCACGGAGATATAGTCTATTTAAAGTTAAAACGAAGGAACCTTTATTTCTCACAATTTACATATATATTTGTTATATATATATATATATATATATATAATAAATGTAACATAAATGTAATAAATTTAATAAACTTGTGAAAAATATTTTAAAGTCATTTTGAACGAATTATTTAATTATTTGATCAATCATGCACATATTTGTGCTATAACATTATGCAAAATGCAACTTGACTTCAAGCTAACAAAGTAAAGACTGCATTTGCATATGTAATTGATTAAATATTATATTTAAAAATGTATCTTTTATAATAATAAATATTATTGTCCTTTAAACAAAACTATTTTGTTAAATTGTTGCCTTATACTTATATTGTTTTCGTTATCTGTTATACTACGCCCTATAAAGTATAATCTAATATGAATGTATTTAGAAGCAACCGGTCTTATGAGATGAATCGCATGACATAATTATATTGCAAAATTTACCTATGAAATGTAATTTTTTGGTTATGAGATTTTTCCCATTGTACTTGCATTTTAATTTTCCGACTATTATTATTTCGGCTTTTACAGCCTTTAGCCCAACAATCCGGCATGTTATATACACTATTTATTTTTTTGTGCAATATTCGTAAGAATGACAGCGGGTAATGTCACTGAATGTATTGTGATGTCTTAGTTAACGTCGTGCGACGTGAAAATAGACGCTAAATCTGAGGCATCTAAGATGGACGCGACTGTGAGCCTCTCTCCCTTCAGGGATCACTCCCCGCGTCTAAAAGGGTACTTCACGCTCTGTCCAGATATTTTGTACGTCCATGGCCCAACCATACAAATTATTAACATCAAAGTACATTAGGTACGAGGATGGTTTCGATGGATCGTAAGACTGCATGTACTTGTTATTGGCTCGAGCGTACCTGTTCGAGCACTGTGCACTGGCTCAAACCACCGCGTATACCGCGTTCCACAAACATGACCATGTCGATGTCTGTGAGCAGCTCGAAATTTACGTGCGTGTGTTTCAGCATGGCGTCCCACGTGAAACCAGGCAAAGTATAATAATACGCGGGATCTAATCCATAACTGTTGATGCTACTATCGCGAAAATTTTCAAAAATGTCGGCCAATAACAAGACATCTATCTTCATATATAAATCGCTGTAGTCGCCTAAGGTTTGGATGGAGAACCGCTGCCAGACATTCTCGGCGCGCACGTAATCGCTCTCGGATACGGTGACTCCGGTCAAAGAACTGAAAAATGACTCGCGCGGAGGTAGACGCGTGTCCTGCAACTTGTCCACGCAATCCACATATTCATAGGGAAATATACCTTTTCGTGTCAATAGATCGAAATCGTCGCTGGATAATGTTGAAAATTCGGATCGTACAATTTTTAATTTGTCTCTATGGAGAAACGATGCCAATCTATCGAGGCTGGTACTCAGAAATTTGTATGAGTCAATAAATCGCAGCTTTATGCAATTTTG